GACGACCCCCAGCCTCTCCACGCTCAGCATCAGGCACCCGCAGACCAGGGCACACCACTCGGAGCCGTGCCAGACCCTGCCAGAGCAACGGATGCAAAACCTCCGCTGCTACGACGGGCAGCCCCCCCCCCGACCCACCTTCCAAGATCCCGGGTCCTACACGTGCCTATCACAACCCGAGGTGCCCCCCACCCAGCGCTCTCAATGCCCCAGTAACAGCCAGGTGGGTGAAACCAGCCAATCACTGGGCTCGCCAAGGAACGCAGCAGCAAATGACCCCTGGCCCTGGGGGTGAGCACTTCTCACAAGGCAATCGCCCCATGTCTGACCTCGCCCTCCTCAGCCTTAGCGGAAACCTGCCCCACACCTGCAAAAGACCAGCCCGGGAGCGTCAATTCATAGCAGGGACCCTGGATTTATGGCTCATTGCAACAATCCACAGGGTTAGCACCCACCCGCAGCCAAGCTCCCCCTCCCCCCAGCGCATCCGCCCCCTTGCCCCCTCCCACCCACCCCGGCTCAGCTGTTCCCTGGCGTGTGGGAGGGGTGTGCTCGGGGGAGGGGGCAGAACTGGGCAGGAAGAGGAGGGGCAGGGGAGGGCAGGGGTGGAGTGGGGGCGGGGCCTGGGGCTGAGCCCACCCACCCCCTGGGAAAACTTGGAAGCAGGTGCCTGTGCAACACTCTGTAACCCCCAGCGCCCCCCTCCAGCCGCTCCCCCCCCTTTCCTCGTGCTGTCTGGAGTGCGAAAGGCCCTTCCCCTCGGACGGGCCATAGAAAACCCGCTAACTACGTCTGCTACACAGCCCCGCAGGAGAGCGCGGGGGGGGGGGGCCCTCCAAACTCGTCTCTGCCACCAGCCGAAGTCGGTGCAATAAAAGCACTGATCTCCCCCAGCCTGGTCACCACGTCGATCCCCCACTGAGAACTACGTGCTGAGATCCGAGATCGGCCAGGTCTGAACCCCCTGAGCGTCCGCTCCAGGGACACTGGGGAGGGCGACTGTTTCCCTCACATTGACGCCCTCCCCTTTACCAGCCACCGAGTGCCACCGCCTTGGTCTGGCAGGCCCTGTTTTCCACAAAGCCTTGTCAGCTGCCATTAATTCCCTCCACAGCCTGAATCCTGCATCGGCTTCTCCGCTGTGGTGCCCGGCAGTGAGATCAGGCTAATCGGCCTGTCGTTAGCCGGCTCATCCCGCCTGGAGCACTGGCACGCTCGTCGCACCCTGCCAGCCGTCGGCACCTGCCTCGCTGGTCCCAGTGATTAACACGAACGTCTGCAGGCGGCAGAGATCCCTCGGCCAGCTCCTTTAGAGCTCTTGGCTGAAAATGCTTCACCAACATTTCCGCGTTCTCTGCACCACCGGGCCTGGTCTCACCATCGACTAATGGGCCTATCGCTTTTCCAGGACTCATTTGGTTCCCTCCCTGCTGCTCCGCACCTCAGAACGGCTCGTTTGGGGTCTCGTCCCCCTTTGTCCCAAGTTGCTCTTTTGTTTCCAACTGCTGCCTTCCCGTCTCCCGGCCGGCTACTCGGCAGGGTCACGCGCCGTCTCTGCTGCGGGATCCCGGCTCCTTGGCCAGCTACGAACGCTTCGGGAAGGACGGCTCTGTTGAGATGAGTTCCTGTCTGCATCCTGTAAAACTTGCCCATACCGGTATTGCCCTGGCCTCTTCTTTTGTCATTCAGCGTTGCACGCATCCTAAACCAATATGCATTTCCTCACCTTTTGGGGGCGAAGCCAGATTCTGAGGCACCTGCTCCCCTACTTGGTGTAAACTTTGCTTGTGCCAATCAGAAACGAACACAAACAGGTTTTGGGCCCCGTCCCCTAGGACACTTCTATGATGTCATAGTTGGTACTTGATGGGCTGCCTGCCATGTGCAGGCGGGGAGAGGAGAAAGAAAAACGAATCCTGTGTATCCTGTGTACACCCGTAACCGAGCCCGATCACCTCGAAGCCTCTCGCTCAGCTCACGTGTTTCAAACAGTGTCTACATTTGCCGCTCGTTATGTGTTGGTTTGTATTTGTAAGTATCAGTTATTACTAAATGCCGCATCTTTGTTTATAAATATTGTTAGTAGATATTTTAGTCATTGTGTGTTTTAAGTTTCGTTAACTCTATTAGCTAATCAAACGCTGCTCCCTTACCCCTTGTAATTATCCCCAATAAAACTTTAAATTGATTAATTTTAGTTGTGTGTGTGTGTGTGTGTGCGCAGTTTGCAGCGTGACCCATACTCTTCTTGCATCCCTTACCAATATAGTCTATTGCCACGTGCAGCCTGGTAAATAACAGGCCGGCATTTTCTCTCACCCCTGCATGCCCGTGGCAATCCACAGGCTCCTTCTCAGTCACAGTTTGTAGCCTCGGCGCTGGGCGCGTCACCTTTGAAGCCCGCCTGGAGCGCCCGGCTGGGTCTCTGCCCACACTGTGAACGGGTGGGGGGGGTCTGCCGCCCAAAGGCCCCCCCAATGACCACACGGAGCCAGGCCGGGCTGCTCAGGGCCTTTATTGCGTCTCAGGCACATGGCTCGTCCACACCCGAGCAAGTCCAGCCCCAAACTCAGAGCGCAGCAGGAGGGGCAGGGGGACGACGGATGGGGGAGGGACAAACGGGGGGGGGGAGCAGAGACACAAGGGAGGAAGAAACCTTGTCAGCAAGACAATAAATACGCCCTGTCGCTACAGCAGCATCTGTGCAGCGGCCGGGGTGGGCTCCCTTCCCTGGCCCCCGGCCCCCAGCCCTGGGCACTGGGCATAGCCCTGGCCGGCTCAAGGCCAGTCTCCCTGTCCAGCCAAGGCGAAAGGTCAGCCAGGCTGTTCCTGCCCCCCAGCCAGCAGTGCCCCCGGGGGGAGACGCACCTGGGACACCTGGGCCGGGCTGGAGGCAGTGGCGCCTGCCTGGCAGGGGGGAGAGGACAGGCCCATGGAGGGGGCAGGGGAGAAGCCAAGAGCCTCCCCCCAGTTCACACGGCTCAACCCCTGCAGGGCACCTCGGGGCCAGCGAAAGCCCAGGGCAGCTGAGGCCTCGGCCAGTTCATCTGTAGCAGCTGCCCCCCCATACCCCTGGGGCAAGGCCCCGAGCCTGGGAGGGGCGGAGGAGCAGGGCAGCGGGGAGGGGGTGGGAGCGCTGGGTGGCTCCGAGCAGGGCGCTGGGTTGAGATCCCCAGGGCACGGCTCCCAAGTGAGCTCTGCCATGGGGCCCATCCGGCCCCATAGTGCCCAGGGAATCGGGGCCATTCATCCCCACCCTCCAGCCTGGCAGGACCCCCCCAGGAGTGAACCCAGCCCCCAAAGCAAGCCCCCCCCCCGGGGACTGGACAGTGGGGCACACAGAGCGAGCGCCCCCAGCCCGGCTCTGTGCTGGTGGATGGACCCCGGCCTGTGAGGGGAGATGTGCGTACATGGCTCTGGGTGGGGCTGGGGGCACACGTCACTGGACAGGGCGGGTCGGATGTCTGCGGGAGGGAGGGGCGGGGGGGATTGTGACCAATGGTGCCACCCCATGTGGTATCTCTGGGGGCCGCAGTGCCAGGGTCCAGCCGAACCCCCAGGGCGGAGGAGGGGGACATGGGCCCTGCGCAGAGCGAGGGGATGGCTGGCGCAGAGACCTGGGAACTGCCTGGCGCTGGGCGTCGCTGGGAGGTGTATGGGGGAGTGTCGGTCTGTGCCGCCACACTCCGTGTGGGTGTGCGCGTGCATGGGAGTGTATGGGAGTGTCGTGTGTATATAGGTGTGTAACTGTGCGTGCATAGAGCATTGCTGTGTGTGTGTACAGGTGTGTCACTGTGTGTGTGTACATGAGTACAGGCATCGCTGTGTGTGCGTGGGATGTACAGGCGTGTCACTGTGCGTGTGTACAGGCATGTGTGTGATGTAGAGGTGTGTCACTGTGTGTGTACATGTGTAGAGGCATCGCTGTGCATTCATAGGGAAGTCACTGTACATGTGAACAGGCATGTTGCTGTGCATGTGTCCAGGTGTGTGTGTGTACATGTGTCCAGGCGTGTGCATGTACGTGTGTACAGGCATATGTGTGTATGTAGAGGCGTGTTGCTGTGTATGTACAGGTGTCACTATGTGTGTACAGGCGTCATTGTGCATGCATAGGGGAGTCATTCTACGTGTTTACAGGCATATGTGTGTATGTAGAGGCATGTCACTGTGTGTTTGTGGGGCATACAGGCGTGTCGCTGAGTGTGCATAGGGGAGTCACTGTACATGTGTACAGGTGTGTCACTGTGCGTGTGTACAGGCGTGTGTGTACGTACAGGCGTGTCGCTGTGTGTGTGTACGTACAGGCCTGTCGCTGTGCGTGTGTATAGGCGTGTGTACGTACAGGCGTGTTGCTGTGCGTGTGTACAGGCGTGTTGCTGTGCGTGTGTACTGGCGGGTCGCTGTGTGTGCATAGGGGAGTCACTGTACATGTGTACAGGTGTGTCGCTATGCGTGTGTATAGGCGTGTGTGTACGTACAGGCGTGTTGCTGTGTGTGCATAGGGGAGTCACTGTACATGTGTACAGGTGTGTCGCTATGTGTGTGTATAGGCGTGTGTGTATGTACAGGTGTGTTGCTGTGCGTGTGTACAGGCGTGTCGCTGTGTGGGCATAGGGGCACATGGGCTCTGCGTGTCAGACTGTGGCCACAGACAGCAGGTGACTCCTAGCAGCTCCCCAGGTGGGCAGGAAGGGGGGGGGGGGCTGCTCAGTTTGCCCTCATCCAGAATGGCCGACCA